CACATAAGGAGGGAAATGAGGGTGAAATGCTACATTGTGAGGACCTCAGCCCTCCAAAATCTAAGCAGGCTATCATCCACACACACCACATGCCAGGCAAGCCCTCCAAAATCGAAGCAGGCTATCATCGACACAGAGCAGATGCAAGGCTCCCCAGATTATCGGTTCATCATCATCTGCTGTTTCAAGCCTTTTTGGTCTTTTCTTCCTGCCAATGGTTCACTGGGTAGTTCTTTGTGAGAATATATATTGGTGTTAATCTTGATAATCATGTTATGCTGCTCTCTCTCTCTCTCTCTCTCTCTCTCTCTCTCTCTCTCTCTCTCTCTCTCTCTCTCTCTCTCTCTCTCTGTGTGTGTGTCTGGCTGGCTGGCTGTCTGTATGTGTGTGTGGTCAATGCATGTGCAGTTGTGATTGCAAGCTAAGCCGGCGGGACATGGAACAGACAGCAGGGTTCCGTGCCATGATGGCTCACGACGAGTGGGCACTTGATGTTTTACTGCGGCTGTATGATCCTCTCAGGCAATTTTCATCGTCTTCGAAAACACGGCATGTCATATCACTATCATCAAGGCACAAATTTTCAAAACTGCCTTGTTATTACTCAGATTGTCGCAAACGTGCAGGTGTTCTGCTAAGCTCTGATGAAGGTACCTCCAGTTTCTCTTATACATCTCTCATCCCTCTTGCCTGCAATCTGCCTCTGACTTGTGAACTGCATGTCCACTTGTTTATTTGATATGACTGCAGGCAACTAGGAATTTTCAACATGTGACTTTTCACCTGGGCATGCGCGGAATGTTTATTGTTCTGCACTATCGTCTTCTGGCATAGAAGTTGATAGACCACGTTATCATTGTTGATGTATATACTATATACACCAAAAGTTGCCCTCCATACAGCTATGATGGCCCTGTGTTGTATTCGGGGGAAAACGGAAGGTTACCAGTCAGATTGCACAGGCTGCCTAGATGCCTGGGTCGCCTCGCGAGGCCAGGCCAGCTCCAGACAATCTCCCAGGCAATGGCAGCACAAGATTGAGCCTGTCCTGGCATGCGCCGGGGTCGCATACACTGTTCTGCCTCATGGGGTACAAGGGGGGTATCCAGACTGTCCACATCGATCTGGAGGCGTGGATGGTATCCAGACTGCCGGATCTGGAATGTCTGGATATGTGTGGGGTTCGGGTCCGGGCTAAACTATACAAAGTAGGGGTGTGTGTGCTTTGAATCCGTTTCATACCCTCCAGACCGCCTGATACATGCTCAGTTGAGCAATGTATACGGAACCAAGGATCTGCAAAGTGATGAGAAGGACTCAAATGGACAATGCATCGTTAGCAAAGCATCACAAGAAATGTACATTCAGATTCATATGAAAATAGCACAATGTAGCGCAGCGGAAGACTCAAAGATATGACCTGACCTGTCAGATACTGATGCAATATCCCGTCAGACACCACACATGTGAGAGAGGGAGGAGGGACCGCATACACAGAAGAAAGGTCCCTCCTTGCACACGCACATGGGGGAGATACCACGGATGAGAGATGGGAGGAGAGGCGAGACAAAGATGGAGGTGAGGGAGAAGACCAAGATCGTGATAGCGAAGTCCAAAAATAGTCTCCTTGCCGAATGCCCAATCAATGTCTGCCACAAAAATGTCGAATCAGATCCTTGGCCTGATGCCTGATGTAACCTCTGCCAGTAACCTCTCTCTCTCTCTCTCTCTCTCTGAAGAAGAAGAAGAAGAAGAAGAAGAAGGAGAAAGGAGGGAGAAGAGATGGAGGGCGAGACAAAGAAGAAGAAGAAGATGTGGTCGTCCTCGCTGTCTCATCTGCAGGTAACTGCTGCCATGTACGGACTGCCGTCGTGGTCCCTGTGCAGGTCGCTGGCATGGAGCACAGCTATGGCGCCCAGGTAAGTACCGCCACGCAGGTATGGCCTCCACCCCTCTGGCTACCTACACCTCTACCTCTACTTCCTAGCGTAGCGCTGTAGTGTTGCAGCGGTGTTCCAGCAGCTTGTCGCTTAAGAAGTGAGCTACTCGAACTATGTGCTGCCTTGGCCTTGGGCCAGCTATATGTAGTGCTGGGCCGGCCAGCCTGCCTCTCTGTGCCTGTGGTCCTCTACACCCAAAACGTGGGCCTACTGGGTCTGGGTCCCGACCAGACGTCCAGACCCTGCACCTGGCCCAGAGCGGTCTGCCTACTGGTGAACCCGGCCCAAGGCGCGGCCTTGGGGACTGCAGGTCCGAAAGGATTGGAACGGTTTCACCCAGTTGACCGGACATCCCTAGACTTGTCCCTTAACCCTGTACATTGATCCTGTGTGCTGAGTGAGATTCGAACCCCTAACCTGTCCCTAAACCCGTAGGATAGTTAGTAGGTCTGTCTGTTAGCTGTTAGGATTCGATCCATGGGTCTATGTGTTAGTAAGTTAGTACTTTACCAATAGGACTAGGTGGGGCCTATCTAGAAGTCTCTACCAGTTTGCACGTGGGGGCCTAAGAGTTAGTCCGTAGGTTCTAGGATCCAGAAGAGTCTGTCTGGAAGGGTCTGTTTGAGTCAGCAAGTACTCAGGGCAAGTGGGAGCCCCACGCGGTAAGTCCCACGTATTTTGGCCCAGCAGGCCCCGCGTCTGAAGGATTTCGGGCCTCACGCGGTTTGGCCAGCCCAGGCCCACGGGGTTTGGGTGGCGGGCGCATGCGGTTTGGATCCAGGCCAGGCCAACTCCAGAGCAGGCCAGGCCAACTCCGGAGCAGTATAACTAAAGAGGCAGCGTCCAGCCATTCATTCATTCGCCTGTGAGCCATGCAGAAGTGCTGCCTTGGTGACTTCTGCGTGGAGGTCTGCAGGGTCCCGGAGCTGAAGTGGGCAGTGAGGAAGGCGATGGCGGCCATAGCTGCCAAGCTGCTGACAACAACAGAGTGTACAGTGTGTGTGTGTGTGTGTGTGTACAGTGAGTGGACATTCAGGGTGGATCCTTGTTCGTGTGTGCATGAGGGACAGTGAGGCTGGTGGTGGAGACAGTGTTTGGCGGCCATAGCCGCAAGTTGTACAGTTGACTTGAACTGAGTTTTGAGTGCAAGACAAATCTTTGAGTTTTCTGTGTGGGTGCAAGGCGCCAGCGCCAGTTCATTGTTGATTCTGAGTTGAAGAAGTTGTTTTGCCATCATTTCGCCCATGTATGCATGTTGTAAGCAAGTTAAAGTTGCAGTCTGATTTCAGGATGCCTGAACAGACAAAAATAGGACAGCTGTGATGACCCGACCAAACACGGACTGAGACACAGCTGATTTCTGAGTTTTTCTCGTGGATTGAATGCCTTGCTGAGTTTCCTGCTTGCTACTAAGTTCTCTAAGTCTGTGTGTGTGTGCACGCTTGCTGGTCTGCATGTCTGTGTGTGTGCATGCGTGCTGGTCTGCATGTCTGTCTGAGTGCTTGTTGGCTTGAGTGTGTGTGTGACCCGCAAGGGCCCTCGTTCGTTCGTTGGGCCCTCAGGGTCGGTACTTACCTGTGGCCGTGACATTGAGGACTGCAGCGGGGAAAGCACATTGAGGACTGCAGCGGGGAAAACACATTGAGGACTGCAGCGGGGAAAACACTCAAGTGGCGGGGGAAGAGGGCCACAACACTTGAGGCAGCGGGGAAACACTCAAGTAGCAGGTAGGCCGGTACCACACCCTGAAGAGGTAGATCTGCCGGGCCTTGAGGCGGAGCAGAAGAAGACAAAAGTTGGCACTTTTAGAGGCCCAGTAGTTGTAGGCTAGGTCGAGGCGGGTACCAGTCCAACCAGTCTGAGTCTAGGGCCTGTACGGGCAATATCAGAGTCTGCAATGGTGTTTCCCTCCGAAAGGGAGGAGGTACCAGTTGCTTGGGAGGCCGAGCGGCCTGGAAGTCACCGCCCAAGAGGCAAGCAGGCCGGGCAAAGAGCCCAGCCTCATTGTCGGTGTGCAAGTTTGGTGGCACACTGGTTGGAGTGCTGGCTGGAGCAGCGCGAGCTTGGAGCAGCACTGCTGGGGAAGGAGCAAGGACACGGAGGAGGAAGAAGACCACGAGGAAGTGGGAGCGACAGAGGTACTTACCTGGCTATGGTGGCAGCCATCTTCATCAACTTGGTGGGCGCTGCAGCAGGAAGGTCCCCGTTGGGGCAGAGCTACACCAAGAAGCTTCGAGGCAGAGTCAGACATGGCAGCGTGAGCTAGAGCAGCCATACCTGCTTTGGGTTGTCCTTTGGGCATGAGGGCAAGACCTAGTAGTCCGCCATAGCCTCGGCCTATGAGAGTGAAGAGTGAGGGAGGAGGCCATGGCTATGGTGGACCTCAAGTGATACCTGCAGTAGAAGACGGATTCGGACATTGATTCTGGTTCAGCCATTCAACATTGTGCTATTATTTCTTGTGTGAATAAGAGAGGAGTAAAGGAGGAGGAGAGTGTTTGGCGAAGAAGAAGAGCTTTATCATTTGTCTATGCTGGTGTACATCATCTTCTTCTTCTTTCTTTCTTCTTCTTCTTCTTCTTACCCTCTCTCTCCTCTCAAGTTCATTCATTTATTTCTGCAATTGGACAGCATTTTAAATTGGCCAGGATCATAACAAAGCAAATAAATAAATAAATAAATAAATAAATAAATAAATAAATAAATGAATGCTGTCTCAAATCGAATCCTGCGGCCTCGCATGGCACGCACTGGACCCCTGTGATTGAAGTGGCAAGTGCGAGGATCAGGGTCCTCGGTAGGCCTATGGGGCCCTGTTTGCAGCCTTACCCGCCCTAAGTGAACGCAGAGGTGTCGCCCTAAGTGAAGGCGGGCCTAGCTTATTGCAAGAGGCCCTCGACTGTCAATTTCATATTTGGGGTCGAGGCAGTTGCGACGTGCCAGTTGGTTGAGCGAAACACAGGCCGAGCAACAACGACATTTCCACAGCCCTCCGGGCCTTTCCAAAGAATGCAGGCCCTGGGCGTGATTCACAGCCTCATACAGAGACAGTTGGGCGCCCAACCGAACGAGGCCCAGCAGCCCAGTAGCTGCTGTAGACAGGCAGCCTCCTGGGGCCTTCCGGAAGCTTCTGGGCCCAGGCCAGTGCAGCCAGGCTGCGAGAACAGGCCAACTCTTTCCATAAAGGAAAGAGCTCGGCCCTGGCTGCGGCGTTCAGGCACTCGCATGCTAGCGGCAGCGCTGCTGGAGCAAAGGCTCACGGCTGCTGGCTGGCGCTGAGAGGCGAGGTGCAGCACGTGCGGTCGTGCAGAGGAGGAGGGCGCTGCTGAGGGCAGCGCTATAGCCCAGCCACCATAGCTGGTGGGCTTGGACTACAGTGAAGCGCAGGGGTGGTCTTCGGGTGAAAGAGAGGACAGGTGTGGGTGTAGTCAGGGGATAGGTGAAGGATGATGATGATGATTTGAGGGCACTTACCTTGTATTGGCGATGGTCTGCATGGGCGACATCTTCAAGTACTTCGGGCTGCCGCTGATGTCAACAGTTGCATTGTCTTTTTGTAGTCTGTAGTAGCTGTGTAGGAGTAGGCTGGGCGCTGAGCGCCAAGTGTGAGTGTGAAGGAACTGGACTCTTGTGTTGAGAGGAGAGAGTGTGCTCTCCATGGACATTGGTTTTCAGTGCTACGAACCTCCATTGGTATATTATTGGTGCAA